TATACAGCGAGAAGCCCTCACTTGAAAGGAGGCCGGATTTCCTTGCAGTGGCTTGAATACAGGCTCGTCTTTCATCTCTCAACATGAAGGGATATCTGAATCCCCTGTGGAGACCTTAGAGAAAGCCCTAGGTCCCTGCCTCATTTTGACGGAATGCCTCACATCCCGCTGACACCTCAAGAGGCACGCGGAGTTCATTGCTTCAAAAGGTGACGATGCCTGACTCCTCTTGAATACTGATAGGAATCCCAAAATCCCTGTGGCTACTGGAAAGGGTCCTTGGGTGCCCTGCCTCACCTCGAGAAGCGTCCCTTTGGCCCTGCCAAGCCTCGAAGAGATTCCTGAGGTGTCCCTCGTTACTAGACAGGAGTCCTGACGTCACTGAAGAAACTCGTGTTTTGAAGGGCCATCCCCGCCGTAAGTCGAGAACATACGCCAGGACCCCGCGGCAACTCGAGAAAAACCATGAGACTTCCCCTAGAGGCGAGATGAGGCCCCATTCCCCTGCAGTGCATGCAGAGCTATTCCGTGACCCCATTCAAACAAGTCAGGAGCTTCGACTTGCTTAATGGATCTCGAGACAGTCCCCAAGAACACTGTCACCAGTCTAGACGGACCCTGAGGTCACCCCAGCCACGCAAAGCAGCTCCATGTGCCCCAAATCAACTCGAGATGAGGCCCGATTCCCCTGCATTCACCCCAGAGCCATTCCCCGTTCCCCATTCAACACGACCGGTGCTCGACTTCCTTCAGGCAACTCCAGAGATGCCCCGAGAACACTGTCCCAAGTCTAGAGGAACACCAACGTCAGCACAGCAACTCGAGGAATGCTCCGTGTACCCCAAATCGTCTCGAGAAGCGAGCTGATTCCCTGGCTTAGGCTCAAGACGTATGCAACTTCCCAGAAGCACCTCAGGAGGAGGCTTCTCTCAGCAATAGGTATGTGAGAGAGGACCCCGAGTTTGCTGCCTCAAGGGGAATATACAGCGAGAAGCCCTAACTTGAAAGGAGGCCGGATTTCCTTGCAGTGGCTTGAATACAGGCTCGTCTTTCATCTCACAACATGAAGGGATGTCTGAATCCCCTGTGGAGACCTTAGAGAAAGCCCTAGGTCCCTGCCTCATTTTGACGGAATGCCTCACATCCCGCTGACACCTCGAGAGGCACGCGGAGTTCATTGCTTCAAAAGGTGACGATGCCTGACTCCTCTTGAATACTGATAGGAATCCCCAAATCCCTGTGGCTACTGGAAAGGGTCCTTGGGTGCCCTGCCTCACCTCGAGAAGCGTCCCTTTGGCCCTGCCAAGCCTCGAAGAGATTCCTGAGGTGTCCCTCGTTACTAGACAGGAGTCCTGACGTCACTGAAGAAACTCGTGTTTTGAAGGGCCATCCCCGCCGTAAGTCGAGAACATACCCCAGGTCCCCGCCGCAACTCGAGAAAAACCATGAGACTTCCCCCTAGAGGCGAGATGAGGCCCCATTCCCCTGCAGTGCATGCAGAGCTATTCCGTGACCCCATTCAAACAAGTCAGGAGCTTCGACTTGCTTAATGGATCTCGAGACAGTCCCAAGAACACTGTCACCAGTCTAGACGGACCCTGAGGTCACCCCAGCAACGCAAAGCAGCTCCATGTGCCCCAAATCAACTCGAGATGAGGCCCGATTCCCCTGCATTGACTCCAGAGCCATTCCCCGTTCCCCATTCAACACGACCGGTGGCTCGACTTCCTTCAGGCAACTCCAGAGATGCCCCGAGAACACTGTCCCAAGTCTAGAGGAACACCAACTTCAGCACAGCAACTCGAGGAATGCTCCGTGTACCCCAAATCGTCTCGAGATGCGAGCTGATTCCCTGGCTTAGGCTCAAGACGTATGCCAACTTCCCAGAAGCACCTCAGGAGGAGGCTTCTCTCAGCAATAGGTATGTGGGAGGGACCCGAGTTTGCTGCCTCAAGGGAATATACAGCGAGAAGCCCTAACTTGAAAGGAGGCCGGATTTCCCTTGCAGTGGCTTGAATACAGGCTCGTGTCTTTCATCTCACAACATGAAGGGATGTCTGAAATCCCCTGTGGAGACCTTAGAGAAAGCCCTAGGTCCCTGCCTCATTTTGACGGAATGCCTCACATCCCGCTGACACCTCGAGAGGCACGCGGAGTTCATTGCTTCAAAAGGTGACGATGCCTGACTCCTCTTGAATACTGATAGGACCCCAAATCCCTGTGGCTACTGGAAAGGGTCCTTGGGTGCCCTGCCTCACCTCGAGAAGCGTCCCTTTGGCCCTGCCAAAGCCTCGAAGAGATTCCTGAGGTGTCCCCTCGTTACTAGACAGGAGTCCTGACGTCACTGAAGAGAACTCGTGTTTGGAAGGGCCATCCCCGCCGTAAGTCGAGAACATACCCCAGGTCCCCGCCGCAACTCGAGAAAAACCATGAGACTTCCCCCTAGAGGCGAGATGAGGCCCCATTCCCCTGCAGTGCATGCAGAGCTATTCCGTGACCCCATTCAAACAAGTCAGGAGCTTCGACTTGCTTAATGGATCTCGAGACAGTCCCCAAGAACACTGTCACCAGTCTAGACGGACCCTGAGGTCACCCCAGCAACGCAAAGCAGCTCCATGTGCCCAAATCAACTAGAGATGAGGCCCGATTCCCCTGCATTGACTCCAGAGCCATTCCCCGTTCCCCATTCAACACGACGGTGGCTCGACTTCCTTCAGGCAACTCCAGAGATGCCCTGAGAACACTGTCCCAAGTCTAGAGAACACCAACTTCAGCACAGCAACCTCGAGGAAATGCTCCGTTGTACCCAAATTCGTCTCGAGATGCGAGCTGATTCCTGGCTTAGGCTCAAGACGTATGCCAACTTCCCAGAAGCACCTCAGGAGGAGGCCTTCTCTCAGCAATAGGTATGTGGGAGGGACCCCGAGTTTGCTGCCTCAAGGGGAATATACAGCGAGAAGCCCTAACTTGAAAGAGGCCGGACTTCCTTGCAGTGGCTTGAATACAGGCTCGTCTTTCATCTCACAACATGAAGGGATGTCTGAATCCCTGTGGAGACCCTTAGAGAAAGCCCTAGGTCCCTGCCTCATTTTTGACGGAATGCCTCACATCCCGCTGACACCTCGAGAGGCACGCGGAGTTCATTGCTTCAAAAGGTGACGATGCCTGACTCCTCTTGAATACTGATAGGAATCCCAAAAATCCCTGTGGCTACTGGAAAAGGGTCCTTGGGTGCCCTGCCTCACCTCGAGAAGCGTCCCTTTGGCCCTGCCAAGCCTCGAAGAGATTCCTGAGGTGTCCCCTCGTTACTAGACAGGAGTTCCTGACGTCACTGAGAAACTCGTGTTTGGAAGGGCCATCCCCGCCGTAAGTTCGAGAACATACCCCAGGTCCCCGCCGCAACTCGAGAAAAACCATGAGACTTCCCCCCTAGAGGCGAGATGAGGCCCCATTCCCCTGCAGTGCATGCAGAGCTATTCCGTGACCCCATTCAAACAAGTCAGGAGCTTCGACTTGCTTAATGGATCTCGAGACAGTCCCCAAGAACACTGGTCACCAGTCTAGACGGACCCTGAGGTCACCCCAGCAACGCCAAAGCAGCTTCCATGTGCCCCCAAAATCAACTCGAGATGAGGCCCGATTTCCCCTGCATTGACCCCAGAGCCATTCCCCGTTCCCCATTCAACATGAACGGTGGCTCGACTTCCTTCAGGCAACTCCAGAGATGCCCCGAGAACACTGTCCCAAGTCTAGAGGAACACCAACTTCAGCAACAGCAACTCGAGGAATGCTCCGTGTACCCCAAATCGTCTCGAGATGCGAGCTGATTCCCTGGCTTAGGCTCAAGACGTATGCAACTTCCCAGAAGCACCTCAGGAGGAGGCTTCTCTCAGCAATAGGTATGTGGGAGGGGACCCCGAGTTTGCTGCCTCAAGGGGAATATACAGCGAGAAGCCCCTAACTTGAAAGGAGGCCGGATTTCCTTGGCAGTGGCTTGAATACAGGCTCGTCTTTCATCTCACAACATGAAGGGGATGTCTGAATCCCCTGTGGAGACCTTAGAGAAAGCCCTAGGTCCCTGCCTCATTTTGACGGAATGCCTCACATCCCGCTGACACCTCGAGAGGCACGCGGAGTTCATTGCTTCAAAAGGTGACGATGCCTGACTCCTCTTGAATACTGATAGGAATCCCCAAATCCCTGAGGCTACTGGAAAGGGTCCTTGGGTGCCCTGCCTCACCTCGAGAAGCGTCCCTTTGGCCCTGCCAAGCCTCGAAGAGATTCCTGAGGTGTCCCTCGTTACTAGACAGGAGTCCTGACGTCACTGAAGAAACTCGTGTTTTGAAGGGCCATCCCCGCCGTAAGTCGAGAACATACCCCAGGTCCCCGCCGCAACTCGAGAAAAACCATGAGACTTCCCCCTAGAGGCGAGATGAGGCCCCATTCCCCTGCAGTGCATGCAGAGCTATTCCGTGACCCCATTCAAATAAGTCAGGAGCTTCGACTTGCTTAATGGATCTCGAGACAGTCCCCAAGAACACTGTCACCAGTCTAGACGGACCCTGAGGTCACCCCAGCAACGCAAAGCAGCTCCATGTGCCCCAAATCAACTCGAGATAAGGCCCGATTCCCCTGCATTGACCCCAGAGCCATTCCCCGTTCCACATTCAACACGACCGGTGGCTCGACTTCCTTCAGGCAACTCCAGAGATGCCCCGAGAACACTGTCCCAAGTCTAGAGGAACACC